CTGGTGGTGGCGCGTCGCGGCGGAGCGCGCAGGTCGGTGGCGGCTTGGTGTTTCTTGTTGTGATGGGGATCAAACTAGGCCAGATCTGCCCCAGGTGGAGGTGAGGACTTGTGGCCGGCGCTCGGGAGGTGGGATGGTGGCGCGATGGGCCTGGCGGGCTCTGGCAGTAGAGAGGTGGCTCGTTCGGGTGGCGGCGGCGCCGACTGGAGGTGGCGGCGAGTTCCCACGGGCAGGCTGGTGGCGACGTGCCGGTGGCTCAACCAAGATGGAATCTTAGCGAGCAGCGAGCGGTCGGTTACCCCTGTGCGGCGCGACGAGCGGCTGTACTCTCCTGATGGTGCTAGCCTGGGATTTTCCGTGGAGAGGAGAGGTGGGTCTGATCGATGCAAGGTTGTCCCTTGGGTAGGCGACGACCATCACGGGTGGTCCTGGACCTGGCCGGAGGTGCTGGTTGGCGCGGATCCTTGTGCAGGCTGGGAGTTGGTGGTGTGGCTGCGGTTACCCTGTTGGGTGGTTAGTCGTCAGTCCTCGGCGTTGCCGCTACGTCGGTAAGTGCTGTGGGGCGGCGGTGTGAGGCTTTCTTGAACAGTGTTGCCAATTTCATGGAGGTGTGGAGAGGGGCGACACGCGGATGAAAATCTTGCTCGGCTTTTGCCGGGCCGGTGGTGATGGTATCTATGGATGTCATTGCCCTTCTTGGAGGCGTCGTCGAGCATGTTCACCATTCCCCTCGCTCTCTTGGAGTTGGTGAATGTCTCTGGGCGAAAGCATCGATTCGGTGTCTGGATCGACACCATGACGGCGCCCTTGACATCGCTCATCTGTTGGGAGCATTATGTTTGGAGACATGGCTGGCTCCTCGTTGCTCTCCCCCGGTGTTAGCTACTGTCCTCTTTTGATCCTCTGTGGCACTATGTACACCGGTCGCCGGTGTGTCTAAGACAGTGTCTTCCCGGATCGGATCGAGTCCTGTCATTCACCTGCCACTTTTTCTTAGGCGCTTAGGGTGGATGGTGCGTCGATGAGTAAAGCTCTGCGACAATTGGTGGTCTTCGGAGATGCCCGGCATCGGTCGAGACACGGTGCTGTGTATGATCTTAGGATATGCTCTTTTGTGTTGTAGCTTGCTTTGCGGTGGTGTTTCTCTTTGGTCCCATCAGGTGTGATGTTCGTGCTACCCTTGTTGTTCGCAGCGAGTGGTAACTTTCTTGTAACTTATATTCTGCTTTTCTATAAAACTATGATACACCTTTGTCATACTTTCGAAGAAAAGACATATTGAGTATGTAGTTGCAGCCAAAGCTAGCTTCAGACAATTGGTTCAGAGCCACATAGGTAGTATTTCAGATATAACAAAGTAGCCCTCTGAAGACCTTTTAATTTGTACCCCCTCCGTCCCCAAATTATTGTCTTAGATTCGTCTAAATATGAATGTATCTAATAAACGTATTAGATACATCCGTATCTAAACAAATCTAAGACAATAATTTTGGAACGAAAGAAGTATGTATCTAGACATATTTTAGTATGTATATTCACTCATTTCTATACGTATGTAGTTAATATATTTTATAAAATAGCTAAAAGTCTCATATTACGTACTCCACGGGCTACAAGCCACCCAACACATCCATCCGTTGGGTTGGGTGGGTGAGCGAGCGGCGCTGGTGGGGATGGAGGCGTGGGCTTGAGCGTACGATCGGGGATGGACGGCTGGAATCCGGCGCAGGGGGGTCGATCCGCGGGACGGAGAATCGGGCGATGTGATTGGCTCGCGGCGCGGTGGGCCCCGATCGCTGGCGTGGCGTGGCGTGGCGGAAGCTTCTCCGTCCGTTCGGTCCTCCTCGCCTGGGCCGCGTGCCGCCACACGGGCCGTGCGGGCCTGCCCGGCCTGATCCGCGTGCGTTCGGTTCGTGTGGAGAGGTAGCCGTGTGCGCCGCGCGCCTCTCCGTCGCGAAACCCTAGCCACCCCCCGTCCTGCGCCGTATGTATATACATACGGCGTATTGCCAGGTCATTTCGACCCCGAAACAATTCCCCCCCGTGCCGCCGCGCTCACCACCTACCTACCTTCCACCTCCAGCAGTAACGGCCGGCGCTAGCTAGAGCAGTTCGTTCGTGTCGTCGATCGAGGAGGAAGAATGGCCGAGGTGCGTCGTGGATCCGCGGGGACGGCGGCCGAGGCGCTCGACCTCGAGCTGCACCTCGGCTTGCCGTCCGCGCGGATCGCGTTCGACCTCGACCTCAACGTCGACCTGTCGCTCTACGCCGGCCCGATCCCGGTGGAGAACCTCGCGCTCGTCGTCTACGAGGGCCTGGTGGCGGCGGGTGGCGACGACGTGCCGGCGCCGGTGCCGCCCGCGGTGACCGGGGGCGCTGCGGTCGCGGACGTGGAGACGAGGGCCCTCGTCATCTACGAGGGCCCCGCGGCCGGGGACGGCGTGCCGGTGCCGCCCGCGGTGACCGAGGGCGTTGCGGTCGCGGGCGTCGAGATGGGGGCCGTCGTCGTGTACGAGGGCCCCGCGGCCGGGGACGGCGGGGTAACCCAGGTCGGGGTTTTGGCAACGCTGGACGACGAGCCACAGGGCGAGGCCGGGCAGATCGTCCCGGCCGGCAGCGTCGACTGTACCGCGCTGGCCCAACCGGGTCTGTGCTATCTCCCCCTGCAGATGCTGCCGCCGGACGACGGGATCCCGTGGCTCCCCTGGGCAGGCAGCGGCGCACGCCAGTCGAGGCGGAGGGCCGACATGGTGCGGGCGTGGGTGCGCGACCAGCTCCAGCACAAACATCGCCTGCCCAGGGACCTGCCGCTGTGCTACATCGGGGAGAAGGTCCTGTGCCGGTCCGACATGAACCCGGGGCACGCCCGCCTCCTCCTCCCGGCCCCCGCGCGCGGCCGCCTCTGCCGAGCCTTCCTCTACCCCTTCGAGATCGCCGCGTGCGGCTTCAACACCAACGACCCCAAGCCGATTACGATCCCCGGGGTGAGGGCCACGCCGACGACATTCCCGGGCGTGCCCTTGTCCGTCTACGTCAGCAGCGGGCGCCGGGGGCGCGGCCAGTGCAAGTCTGACCGCCTGAAGCTCAACAAGTTCCATGCAACGACGCCACCGTCATCAACGGTCAGGGGTACAGGAGCTTCATGGTGGACTGCGGCCTGGAGGCCGGCGACGGCGTCGAGGTGTGGGCGTTCCGGTGGCCGCCTGGGATCCGTCCGTGCCTTCTGATCGCCAAGAAGGACGGCGTCCGCGCCCGCGCCCGAAACCCGTAGTTCGAGTTCGACCCTCTCGCTGGGATCCTAGTATCTCATACTGCATGTCAACTGCACTCTGTTGTTGTTGTTTTTTCTTGTGCGAGGAGTTGCTGCTGTTGTTATCACTGTTTTTTTTTTGAAACTTTGTTGTTATTACTGTTGTTGTATCGTAGTGAGCTAGCCTAGCGGTCGCTTGGTCCTAGGTTAAGTTATATCTTAGTGATCAGCTAGCTCTCCTTAATCATGTTCTCTAAGTACAATTCCGATTCTGAATGCAATATTTTGTATTACCTATAATTTGTTCGTCTTATGGGTACGAGTCATGGGGCAGTTGCAAGGTACAATTTTTTTGTGGGGAATCTCGAGAGCTTTTATGGTTACGTGCACTGTAGAAATTACTTGGCGCGCACGCACATTGGAAGGTTGCCAGGCGCGCGCGCCCTAGTTAGAAATCGGTTGACGCGCGATTACCCCAGGAATAACTTGGCGCACATGTATATAGATCATGAAATTTGTCGTATGCGAAACTATCTATACGACGTATGTATT